TAACGGATAACAGAAATGAATAGCGACGAAAAACATATTCCGCCGACCCATAGCTTAGTGCGAGACAAGGGCTAAAACTAGAAGAGATAGTGAAAATGCTAATTCTTTGGTTGTTAAAAAATATATACAATTCTTTTATAAAATTATAATTCTTAAAATCTTGTGTAGCCGCCATCTGCCTCTATAACAGCTTGGAGACGTTCCCTCATCGAGCCCACCAGTCTTGAGCAGATATCAGACCCACGTGTTTCCTCCCAAACCTCATTGCAGTGCCCTTGTAGTGCTTCTGCTGTTCGTTCATTACGGTTACACCATCTCTGAACCATAAGACCCCACATATTTTCAATAGGGTTGAGATCTGGCGATTTTGCAGGCCATGGTATCAAGTTTATTTCCGGATGTGCATCAAACCAAGCACGTGTTACCCTTGCTTTATGTAAGGGACAGTTATCCTGTAAATAATTAAATTGACGCATTTCATTTTCTGGATAAACGTTCCGGACGGATGGCAACATAGCATTTTGGAGAACATCAACATAATCTGATGCCGTTGCTCGTGGTGGCAAAAAGGTCAAGTCTCCAACACCATCAGCAGTCATCCATCCATACAAATTTACCGAGATACGACCCGATTCTCTATTTGGCACGACATGATTTTGCGTATATCGCGTTTTATTGAATCGCCAAAGGTGTAGACGCCCGTGTTGACTGGATTTAAAAGTTTTCTCGTCGCAGAAAACAGTATTACTCCAATCAAAATCCAAATATTCTATGGCGAAATTTAATCTGGCCATTCTATGAGCGTCAGTCATATAAATTTTCTTTGCATAACGCCTGTGATGTAAGCCCATATAATGTAAATGGTTTCTAATGGTTTGGAGAGTCACGTCAAATATGTCGGCAAAATAACGCGTTGGTATAAAGCCAGATTCCTCATAACTCCGTCTCATGAAGACTCGCTGAGTATCTGATATTTCAGGTCTACGACCGCTACGACTCCGAGCGTTCAAATTCCCCTCCTCGCTTTCTCGTCTTATCCAAAGACGGACAGCTTGTCTCTATAATCAAAAATAAAATATGAACAGAAAAAAAAAATTTTTTTTTTTACACTCGGACTTGGTCTGAGATTTTACATTAAACTCACGTCAGACATAATAATACTTACCGACACATTTAATTCTCTAGAAATCTCACTAATATTCAAACCATCATTGTGTAATGTGCGATTATTTGTGCTCTTTCGTTAATGGATAAATTTCGGGGCATTGTAGTGTAAATTAATTAGGAAAATACCTACGGAAAATGCCGAGAAAATATTTGACATTAATTGTCAAGTGATATATTCTTTTTCAGTAAAAGATTTTTCGTAACAAAATAGTTTCCACTTTGAAGTGACCTACTTAAATTTTAAATTTATGAAATATTGTGAAGACTATTTGTTGTTGCAAATTATTATCTAATGCATAGGCTGCAAAGGTCAAAATAACATTTGTGCTCTACGACAACACGTCAGCATTGTGCATCTCTTTTATTGTTTGTATGCAATTCCAAGATTCGCCTTTAGCGATGCTTTAAAGACACGGGAAATGTTGTCAAAACTGGTAGACCACTTTCTTGGCCGACCGTACCTAAACCTTTTTGCATTTGAGTAGGTAAGTATATGTATAGGTGTTGTAGTTTGTATTTTGTGTTTAAGTATAATAATTACGTCCATAACTTGAAATTAAATAAATTATCTAGTCGATTAAAAATGGTTTTATTTAGAAAACGATAATTTGTCATTTCTCTGCCATTTTTGTACCTAACTTTCCTCTAAAGTTACATAACATGAAGATGCAATAATAATTAGTGATTCTATTAAAATCCCGAAAAACCCGAAAATACCGGAATACCGGGATTTATGTAAGTAAGTACCGAAGATACCGGTTTCGCAAATATGGTGGTATATGTTGGTCTGTTAGGGGCTTCCAAAGATGTGTGCAAAATTATATAGATGCGTGTAATTATTTTTGTGATTATTTATTTTTAACTGATTACTTTTTTAATTTATTTGCTAAGATTTCAACTTAGGGTACACTTCAAGTTTCATCAAAATCGATACAGTAGTTTTGAAGATATAAACTGATATAATTTAGGCTACTTATATAAGGAATAAAAATTTGACAGACTTATAAAATTAAGTAAAAATTTATGAACTTTTTGTTAACCAACTCCAAAAAAGGAGGCATTCGTTTACCTGTATACGTCATTAACCAACTTCAAAAAAGGTTTTCAGTTTTATAGAAATATGGCGCAATATTCATATATGTTAGTCTATATGCGTCTCTAAACACGAGTGCTAAATTTAATAGGTGTATATTATGTATGTGTGTCTTTATGTCTGACACGTATTTCTCGTAAATAAGACGTTTAATTGAAATGAACCTTTTTTTGTTTGATAAACTATTTTCAAATTAGGGAACAACAAAAGCAGTGGCGTAGCTACCAAGGGGGTAGGCGGGGCAGTGCCCCGGGGCCCCTAAGCTCGAATCTTTACCAGAAAATCTCAATCAAACCCAACTTTTGAAAATTTCTCCCATTTAAAAATAAATATGACAGGTGACAACTCGAGTTTTATCATGGCAACTCAGTTGTGAGAAATTCCAAAGTTATAAAAAAGGAATTCCCCTAAATTATTTGTGTGGGTTGACAGTGTTATTAATGTTTTCATCAATTTGTCGGATATCAATATCTGCATATTATTATTTATCGATATGCGTTTTTGTGATTCGCGATTGTGAACTTCGAGTCAGGATTTTTTTTCGAGAATGGTTAAAAAGTTAATGTATCAAGAGTAAGTAAGCGTATGTCAATCAATTTTTTGTACTGGTCCATACAAAAGTTCAATTTTATTTGATTATAGTACGTTCACATAGTTACGTAAAGAAATCTATAGGTTTCGGCTACTTACTATATAACTCAAAATACCGTGAAAAATACAAGTCACATGCGGTAGGGGTCGTACATTAATTACGTGATTTTTTTTGTCATTTTTTAAACCGTCAAATGTGGTTACAATGGCGGCGATAAAATGTTTGCCGGGGATTCCCCAACGACGTCTTGTATCGTATCATTACGTTTCGCTTTCCTTTTACTTGTAACGTTGTCAGTGAACAGTGAGTACCTACTTGAGTACAATCTAACATGAATATTGCATAAATTAATTAGTAAACTAATATTATGGACAAACAAAAAAGAAACCCAGTGGGCCATTTAAACGCAAACAACGCCAAGAAAGAGAAAAAAGTAAACAAAAATTTCCCAAAATTGACAAGTTTTTTAGTCAGCCCTCTGCAAGTACTTCTGGACAAAATATTTCTATTCATAATTTTAGTAAATAGGCGATAGGTTAAATAACAGTAAGCTGGTACAACGTATCTATGAATAAATAAATATATAATAAACCCTTGAATCTTTTCTATTTCGTTTTATTCCCCAATACCTACTCCAAGTATAAAAATAATTGTAATTTATGTTGTTAGTGTTTAATAGTTTTATTACCTGCCCATGCACGAAAAAGAGCTGATGATAAAGTTGCTTAGCATTTTTAAAGTATTTGTATATTTAATGATTTTACTTCAAAACCCTTAACCAGTTTTGATAGCAGTGGGCCCCATTTTTTTATTTGCCCCAGGGCCCTAGGTTACCCTTGCTACACCACTAAACATAAGAGACAACTTGCTAAATTACTCAAGAAACGAACTGTAACCAATAGTAAGTTAAGTAAGGTTAGAACTGAGACCCAAATAAAAACGAATTCCTTGGTATAGAATGACCTGATATTCATACATATATGTTGGTTTATATTGTCTTCTAAACACATGTGTAAAATTTCATAGATGTATGTGTGTATGCATTTATGAATGTATGAATGTTTGTATGTATATATGTATCTATGTTTGTATAAGAAACGAACTGTAACCAACAGTAAGTTAGGTAAGGTTAGAACTGCGACCCAAATAAAAATTAATTCCTTTGTATAGAATGGCGTAGTATTCATATAAGTTGGTCTATATTGGCTTCTAAACACGTGCAAAAATTCATAGATGTATGAAATATGAATATTAAGCTTAGAATTATTCTTGAAAATATAAAAATATACAAAAATATCATTATTGAAATCATGGCCGTATGAACACAGATGCGTTATTTTATATTAAAAAAATATAGCTGTCTTTCTAAACAGGCATATGCAATTTTTTTTTAAAGTATCGATATTATCTCCGGTACTTATAGATATCGAAATGAAAGTACTTTCTAGTTAATTAAAGGTAACAGAATAGACCAGTATTTTTACTGATAAGTTCTACAAAAAATCTAGCTTATAGTTAGACAGTATCTACCAAATGAAATAAAGTATTGGTTTATTTCTGTAGTACTATATGATGCAGAACAAAGATAGTTTGTTTTGCAATTTGACTGAAAACAGAATTGGGACGTATATTCTTTGCAAAACACTTTATTGTTAAGTATATTATATGAATAACAAAGTAGTTTTTTTTTATAATTACAACAATATAAGTATTTTAAAAATGCTTATTTGAAATAGGTTAAATAGTCTTCTAATAAATATTTTTCTTTAAATATCGATTATATCATATCTATTTACTAAGAAAAATGTGGAAACAAAAAGAATTGATAATTTGAAAGTACTATCATTCACAAAAGTACTCGTATTAATCATAGTATCGATATCTAAAAGAATTATGTTTTGCGTATCCCTAATACATAGAATGTCAAAAATCTATAGAAACTTCATTTGGTATTTTCATGGTGTTTTTTATGCATGGTATTTTCGTGTGTAGCTACACAAATTAGTGTTACATTAGGAAACAAATTGTTTCTGACTTTTCAAACAGTGTAAATATTGTTTACATACATATATAAGAACTACCTCCATCTACTATTGGTTATTAGTTTATAACAGTGTTATTATGTGGAGCAGCTAAAGTGCGTACACTATGGCATCCGGCTCAAAAAATGATATTGTAAATAGGTTATTGCATGCAAGACTAGACGATGAACCTGGCGGAGATGAAGAGCTACCTCAGAATATGTTACCACCAACGAACTATCTCGCGAGGCAAGTGGAATTAATGTGCAATTTGCCCGATGAAGAAAGCGTCCAACCTAACGAGCCTGTTCCTTCATCATCGGCTATCGAAAATTTGCAGCCGACAAACAACATCGGTGGTCGATTACACAACTGGCAGGCCACTAAAACTACCGTCAAAGAACGCCTTTCTTTTTTATTCAACAACGAAATTTTGTGTGATGTTCACTTTATTGTAGGCAAAGAAGCAAACCAACAAGTAATTCCTGCTCATAAATTTGTACTCTCTGTAGGCAGTGCCGTGTTTGATGCTATGTTTAATGGTGTATTAGCAACAAAATCTGATGAGATTGAACTACCTGATGTAGAGCCAGCAGCATTCTATCATTTACTAAAGTTCCTATATTCAGATGAAGTTAGAATTGGTCCAGAGACTGTGATGACAACTTTGTATACAGCCAAGAAATATGCTGTTGCAGCATTAGAGGAACATTGTGTTGATTTCTTGAAAAGTAATTTAGGTACAGATAATGCTTTCTTATTATTGACTCAAGCCCGGCTGTTTGATGAACCGCAATTAGCAGCATTATGCTTAGAAATGATAGACAAGAACACAACTGATGCATTAAATGCTGAAGGTTTCACTGATATTGACCAAGATACCCTGAATGCAGTTTTAGAACGGTAAAAATGTGAAAAAAAAATATAAATATGACATTTTGTGATTTTCAAAATAACAACAAACATTTCTTCTTTTTAGGGACACATTAAGAATTAGGGAGGCTAAGATCTTCGCAGCAGTGCTGCGCTGGTCTGAAGCAGAATGCATCAGGCGACAACTCCCTGTAACTCCGACAAACCAACGAATGGTCTTAGGCCGTGCCTTTAATGCCATACGATTCCCATTAATGTCTGTTGAGGAGTTTGCTATGGGTCCAGCACAAAGTGGTTTGCTTGATGACAGAGAAATAGTTCAACTTTTTTTGTATTTCACTGTCAATCCTAAGCCTAATGTTGGATTTCTAGACACTCCAAGATGTTGTATGACAGGCAAAGAATTGACTGTTAACAGGTTTCCTCAAACAGAATCCAGGTGGGGTTATAGTGGAACAAGTGACAGGATTAGATTTACAGTGGACCAACGGATTTTTGTTGTTGGATTTGGCCTATATGGTTCATATTTTGGTCCATCTGAATATGAAGTACATTTACAGGTGTGTACATTTTTAAAAGATTAATTCTTACTTATTTATTTATTTTATTTATTCAGTACAGCTATATGATACATTAAAACAATAATATATTTATATAATGTCAAAATATAAACTTCATTTCGTTATGAATGCTGTACATAATTAGGAATGGGATACAGATTTGGTGTATAATTTATTGAGTTTTTTATGTAAATTTGATTAAGCTTATTGGAATAGAACTTACTACATGTCAAAATGCATTCATTCATTGGCAGTGCTAGTCACTTATTGACATTAATAGAATCTTAATAATTTCAGGTCATCCATCTAGCTACAAAAAAAGTATGTGGATCTAACACAACAACATTTTGCTGTGATGGCACCGATGACACATTTAGGGCTATGTTTAAAGAGCCTGTAGAGATACTGCCCCATACATCTTACATTGCTAGTGCTAAATTAAAAGTAAGTTCAACATTCATAAATAATAGTTAATAAGACTTTAGAATAATAGCAAAATAGGTTCAGCCAACATTTTAGTTAGTGTGCGAAATTAGTAGCTCTAGTATAATATTACAAATAATATTCTAAGAATTTGTGACAAAAATATGCAGTTTTCTATAGCTTGACATTTCAGTATCTATGTACTAAGGGTGTACATTACTCAGTACCCGGTTCTGAAGTCAGATGCTGAGACACCTGATGGCGGCAGGGCAATGTAAAGTACGATAAATTGTAACATGTATAAAAGGTGCTTTCTTCTTCTATCTACGGGCGTCTCCGCAAGTGACGTCAAAATTGCGACTATTTTGCGTACGGAGTGTGTGGCTGGGGATTATTCCATCCATCTCTGCTCTGACAGAAACGCTTCCAGCGCCTTCAAGTCTGTAAAGGCCTCCTGGAGGTTACCTGGTGAACCGAGGTACACTTGGCGACTATGGTGCGGTGCACTCCAGCAGGACACGAGCAGCTGTCATGTATCCTCTGCCCAAAGGCTGTCAGTGACACCTAAATTAAAAAGGTGCCTGTTAAAGTTGCCATGACCAGTAATAGCACCTGTTACCAGACACTTTTACTTAGCTGTAGAAAAGCTTTGGAGAGGAGAGCATTCAATTAGGGTAGTGCCAGATTGGTCTGCCTGCAGGTCTCCACGTACTGTTGATGTAGTTTACTCCAGTATTGACATTTCTTACCAAATAATTAACATATCTTCAAAAACATCCAGCTAACTGGTATGGGAAATATTGGCTCAGGGCCCATTGGTGTTGAGTCTGATCCTCTTAGTACCAGTTCATCACCTGCATCATTTACACGTGATCGACTGTGTCCTTTTATCTATGAGATAGTAATTACATTATGTGTCCCTGCCATGCTCAGAACCTGGTGACACTCCTGTGAGAAGACTCGATCTGACAAAACTGGCTGTAGGACTGATTTACTGACCGAGAAGGTCCGGCTTTCTGATCTTGTTACCTTCCTTGTAGTTATTACTCTCGCCGCCAGGGTGATCGCCATACGTTTAGCCTGAAAGACTGTATTGTATGAGCTGAGGGGCAAGAACAGAAGTATGTTGAAGTCCTCAGAGAATACACCAGCGCCTGATGAGGTTTTGGAGCCGTCCGTGTCCGGGGTGTTAAGACATTCCTTCAGTTAGCCATGAGATGTTTAGCGGCCTCGAACCTTACCAGTTTGTGATTTTTTTAGTCTCAACGCTATTGATGTGTAGTGATCTAATTAACATTACTTCCAAAGCTGGACGCGTGCTCATGCATCCCGTCAGGGCGCAACAATCCTACCGCTAGAAGCTTTGCAGTTTGTTTTCACAGGTAGACTGAGTAGTTTTTGGCCACCATACAATGGCACCATAACTTATCCTCGATATGTGTTGTAGAGCTACAAGAACAGTTACGGCGCAAGTCCCCAGCGTTCCCGATCGTTTTGCGGCATTGCCACAGGATGACGGTCGCTGTTTTAATTGTATGTTCTATGTGACCGTTCCAGTTTAATTTACTGTCAAGAATTATGCCTAGGTACTTTACCTCCTTGGATAGTTGTAGTGTAGTGCCAAATATCTTTGGTAGGTTAAATGGCCTGTGTTGTGTTTAGTTGTACACATTACCAGTTCCGTTTTTGCAGGATTCACGGTCAGTTTGCGTACCAACGTTCGAATTGCTTCAAGGCGGCTTGCATGGTGTTGCAGGTTAAACCAGCGTGGGTGCCTAAAAATTAATATTGAAATACCATCGGCATACCCTCTGGTTTACATGTGGCTAGCATTCAGGAGTGTCATTGTCTTGGGGTATAATAGTTTAAAATTAGCAAAAATTTCGAAATGTGATGCAAAAATGAATTCCGAAGTAGAGTTACATATTGGCTGAAAGGTTAATTATAAATAAATAATTAGAAATTATTAAGCTCACAAAAAATACTGTCTTTCATTTAATGTTACACACACATTCAACAATCGCTAGAAGTTTATTCCGCCGCTCCCCCACCAGGTGCTAGAACGCCTGACCTCCATACTGGGTATTGAGTGATGTCAGTTAGCACTTTAACATACTTAAATATCAAGCTTTAGAAAGCTCTTGCACATTTTTAGCTCGAACTTTTTGTCTCTAATGTCTTATTCTATTTTCTCAGGGCACAGACTCGTACTATGGAACGAAAGGTCTCCGCCGTGTGACTGTCGACTGCAACAACGGTGAAAAGGTTGTATTTCAATTCTCCTATGCCGCTGGCAACAACAATGGGACCTCTGTAGAGGATGGCCAAATACCTGCCATCATATTTTATATTTAAAAATAATACTCTAAACTGGTAACACTAAAATACTATAGACTACGTAATTCAACTTTTCATTATAGTTGGTAAAGTAGTGAAGATCAGTCGAAAAAATAATTAAGTATAATAAATTAATTAATGAGTATTAATTAATGAAAACATGCTTTCGATGTATTGGGGATGTAAAAAATCAAAGATTAACTAATGATATTAATGAATTAAGCGGTATGCAAATTGGAACAATATCTACCTAGATAAATTTCGATGTTATTTTCTAAACTGCGCAAACTAATACCAAATTGATTTTTATAATGCCAGCAGAGACTGAAACTTAAGATATGGCGATTTTTTTTAATAAAAATTTCGGAGCATGAAATAAAGTATCTGAAATGTAATCTCATAGTTAAAAATGTCATATAAATCTGTTTTCTGAACAATAACAATGTTCCTGAAATATAGTGATTTTGTATACATATCAATTAACAAGCTACATCGTGCAAAGGGTCTAGTACGTTGAAACTGCATTACTGGAATACAGAAACAAGTGTTTAGATGTTAACTCGAGCATCATTTAATCATTTGTAGTCCTAAACTTCAATTAACTGTCGTTACATGAATTTCGGTCACAACTAAATGTTAGCTTAAGTGGCTTAGGAAAGACAGCGTTGTTACTGTCTAAATACCAAGGTATCGAGTTCTTTTGTCATTATTTTCAGTTTTTTTAAGTTAGTTTTCTGAAAGTAATATCCATAAATTTGTTGTGCATGCAAACAAGCCTTTTCTGACTGATATCGCGTTTAGGAACATGGTCAGAGTTTGCCACCATTTCTAACATTCTTTCGAGTGATAGACACTAGTCAGGGGTACTAGGCGTTACTTTCGATTAGTAGACGATAGTCACGAGTGAGAGCAGCAGACCAACTCTGCTTATGTTTACGTAATAATTCAATCTCGATAGTTTTTTTTTATCGGTCAGGGGGCAGACGATCAGACGGATCACCCGATGGTAAGTGATTACTGTCTGAATCGCAACGGATTTCACTTTCCCGTTGTACTATCTACCCGAAGTCCAACATTATTAGTGCAATGTCTTCCTCACACGGTGACAGATATATAATAATATTGGACTTCAGGATCTACCTGAAGTACAATGGCAAAATGCATATCGTTGAGATTCTGTTGAGATGCAGAATTGGACTGCTTGTCGAGAGTGGTAGATACTAATCGCGAGCAGTACATACTAGTCGCGAGTGAGTAGATATACTCGTATTATCGTGAGTGTGTGGTAGACTCTCAGTCAAAGAAACCGCTTGTCGCTAACTTCCGATAGCTCGTGGTCGATCGGTTATTATATATGTAGAGATCGCTTAATGCCGTAATAACGTTTTTATGTTCTTAAAAATGCCCAAAAATGTGCTATTATTATAATACGTATTCGTGTTCAATTTAGTGACATTACTGTATTCAAACCTAAATAACGATTTAGGCCTTAATGTTAACATTATATTTTACGGCATTGGCGCTAATTTATATATTAAGGGTTATTAAAATTTTGATTAGTTTAAAGCGACATTACCGATATAAATTTTCAAATATAAAACATTCATTAGAGCTTTGTGAATCTTAATGAACGTGTGTGCAACTGAACAAATACCGATGATAATTAGCTTATTGTTCTCAACTTATCTGACCACTAAGATTTAAGCCCGATCTACAAAAGCCATTATGTCAAAGCTAAAAAGAATAAACACGCCATGCATATAAAAAGAAGAAATCTAAAAAATATGATTTTGTAAAGTCCTGTCATATTGTTATGATTCAGGAATTCGCGTAGGATACGTATAACCGTGAGGATAGTTAAATAAGGGATCTGTGATAAGGTTTTGGAGTGTAACGAAAATTGTTTAGGTTTCACTCTACAAATCAAAGTGTTAATTTAGAAATATGTATATGCGGGACCACTTAACGGTCTATGAATACTCGCACGCTCATATTATATTAAAGTATAAGCGCGGCAAACTCTGTCAATATTGAATCCCATAAACATTGCCGTAGCTAAGCGTAGGAAAAGCGGCCCCATACCCGCAGCCTTGTAGTGAAAGATGGGCGGGGCTTATTTTGACTGATTGTATTCAAAGATCGCTACAGTCAGATTAAATCAATAAACGCTGAAGCGAACCCACACTTAAAACAACTACACGTTTGGCAAACAGACGACAAACAACAGACACGCGTGAATGGGTGTTTGTTGTTTGTCAGTGATCGACGTCGGTGTGGATTTTTAGTCGTGCTAAAAGATACATTAGCACGCTTTTCCAAGCGTGGGCGGACAAATATGTTAGTGGTGGATTTTTGGTTTATGCCATGATTTGGCGCCTATTTGCTGTCTGTAGCAACGCCAGCGTGCGGAGCTAGCGTTAGGTTCCACACAACGCCACGCGTAAACACATACCGCTGTAACAGCTGGCCATGAATGTTGCAAAATGTTATCCTTATTAACGACTGCATTGCATTAAATATTACTTATCATGTTAATATTTTATCCTTTATCAATTTACACATAAGGAATATGTATTAATGTTAATTTTTCATATTGTAATGGAAAGTGACTTCATATCTAATGAAGTTATTTTTTCAAAAAGCGCCCTTGCTGGTTTCTTGCCGGCTCTTCTGGCTACAAAATCTCTCTAAGATTTGCGAACCTATGACATAGCTTTGATAGACAGCGCAATGCAATAGTTGATTAATGATCACATCGCACATCTCAGCTGTATTACTATGCGCTCACGCTTTTAATATGAATGAGGCTTTATTGTTCTCAATATCTAGGAGATGACTGCATTATTTATTTGAACCAACTAAATTCATTGTTTCTACAAGTCAATCCGCCTTAAATGGTTCTCACACTATGCCGACTCGAATCTTAGTCGATAGTTAGAATTAATTGAGTTCCTTATTAACGTGAAAAAGGTTGTGTTTTTATATCCATTTAAAAAACTAGTAAGAGGATTACAGTTAGCGCCATAATTGTCGAAGCGGCCAAACTGATCAAAAAATTGTCAAACGCAGAAATTCAATTTTATTTACGCAACCAAAGTTGCATATTACTCTAAGTGCGCAAAGTGATCAAAATATCTAGACAATTTTACTTCAAATTTGTTTCGAAGCGGTCTGACTCCATTCGACTCGAATGTCTACAACACTCGAGTGACAGATAGTCGAATCCCCACTGCTGGGACTCAGCACTTTCCTATGGGGGGCATCGAATATGGAGAATGGGAATGAATCACCACGCGAGCTTAGTACGGATTGGTGCACGCACGCAGGAACTCGAAATAATAAATTTTTAGTCACCCACTCTGTCACCGACACTTGTGAAAATTGAACCGTATCGCAGACCGAGCACGTTATCCATTGCGCCATCGAACTCCACAACAGCAACTTCGGTTAGAACCTTCTGTACTTGAAATCTATCTTTTTGATCACTTCGGGGGCTTCTATGATTGTATGAATCACCTACAATAGTAGGACGTATTATCGCAACTTTCTGTCGACAGATAACAACACTAGCACAAATAGTAAACGCCATTCACAGTATTGTAAGTATAAATTAATAATTTTAATTTTTTTTGAACTTTTACAAAGGATGTAAATTTATCCAAAACTTTCACTTCAATAAATAATTCATTCCCAAGAGACAAAGTTTGAAAAATATGCTAGTGCTGCCATCTACTCCGAGGTTCGCGTAACACTACTGTTGCTGTTTTTCACCAGTAGATTGTTATAATTAATGATTATAATTTTACTCCAAAATTGTTGTTAAACAATCATAGCAATACAATAAAGTGGACCAAATGATGTTTGTTTAAATTAATTTTAATCTTTATGAACACGATGTAGAGATCAAAATTCAATGTTTCACTGTAAATCGAGTCAGCGTCATGTGAGGAGACCGTTGTTTGTTTTAGTTTTGGTGATATTTTATTGTTTAAAAAAAAAATCTTTTTTATTACTTGTTATAGTGCCAAACTTTTACTAATAATATTGTTTCTACGAACTATAAACATGTTAACTTTTTAAAACTAGGTAATAGGGATGACGATTGGATAAAAAAAATGCAATTCTATTTAGTCCGTCAGTCAGATAATAGAAAAATATTAGATACGTATTTTATTTACTTAAATTTAACAAGAAATAGATAACAGGCATTAAAGTTGAGGAGTGGGGGCTCGCTACGTCACAGTTTTATAGAAAACGTACCATAACGTTACATCATGCGAAATGTCAACTCCATGTATCGCCGTAATTTTATGATTTCGAAAAAATACGTGTTTAATATTTTTCAACACTACCTGACGGATAAACAAATAAAAATTAGTCGTCATCCCTTATCGCTTTAACAAGAAATTATGTTCCACATTGATATCACTTTATATTACCGGATTCGCAGGGTTTGTGGTTACCGCAACACATCAATGAAAACAACGGAAAAATTAGAAATAGCACATATATTTGTAATTATATAAATACCTTTTTTTTACACATGCGTAAAATCAGCCCGAAGGTGAACGCAAATCTGTCCTTACTGTAAAACCGATAACTGTTGCGAATCGCGGGAAGAATTATAAAGATTATTCTTGGAATAAAACATAAAGCAACAAGTGGGACATGCGAAATCCAAGACAATTTCGTTTGTTTCGGCACGATTCATTCTTTCGGCGCGGATGCATGCGATCACCTTAAGACTAAATTATTATAAACACGACTGACCATTATAAATATTATCCATATTGTATTTTTATCATTTTATACACGATGTGTCTAGTCATATGTCAAATGAAATAACTACCTAATATTTCGCGACGCTGTCGAACTTTCATTTACTAAAATTGTTGTCTGTAAAATGAATTGTATTAAGCAATAGGACTGAGGTCCAGTGTCTCATCGAAGGCTAACGAAGAACTGAATGCTATGGTAACGCGGAGGAATTGTGTAAGATAATGTAGGCTCCAAAGCTTAATATATGTATTTTTAAAAGGTTATATTTTATATAGAGCGAAATGATGTTGGTCAACAATAAACGACATTAAATAATTATGAGTTTTTTTTTATCAACAAACCTTCTTTTTGTCACCCGGTCATAGAGGCACGAAGCAACAGCGGCTTAGCCCATCTTAAATATAAATACTTATAACAAATAGGTATATACACAAAAATAATCGATTAATATCAGTCCAATTGTTTGCACATAATTATAAAGTAGTCTATCAATTATGGTAGCCAATAATTATATTTTAAGACGTTATAAAAAAACAAAGAATTTATAAAAAAAAGCAGCAGCTGTTGAAGAATAAAGCACGTCATCATTATCAAGAACCTATCGATAGGGTAGCGCTACCAGCACAACACTGCCATACTTTAGCACAGATAATATAAGTAACCAGTAAAACCCAAGTAGGTCAGTACATTAACGTACATATAAGATGTAACCGAATATGAAGAAAGTCACGCGGGACGAGTGCGGATTGGTGGTTATTAACGACAATCTGGACCGATGACTTGACGTGCTCGAGACAATACGTTTTTGGTCACCCACCCTATAACCGGCCTTTACGAATTACTTGTGTTACCGTATCGGCTTTTGTACACCAGGAGATAAGGTGCCATCTACAAGTAAAAATACTACCAATTTTTTTTTAATTTTTATGTAATGTTATTGTAGTTATGAGCATCCCATTTCGCTTTGCCACTGCTCGTGCTTCTTCGTCAAATTCTTCGACACGGGCTTCGTCTTTTCAATCGCAACCAAAATGTCCGCCAAGTTTAACCTGTCCTTGCGGGTAGCTTGAACACCTACAATCAACAACAATTTGTGAGAACATTAATTAATGCTATACTGATAAATATCTTTGATGAAAAATACTGTTGGGTCTCGGATAGCTCAATGGTTAGAGCAGTCGCCCGGACTACGTAAGGTTTTGGGTTCAACCATCTCGGAGTACCATTTTTCATTAAAAAATACTTTTATATTATACAGAAAAGTGGATAAACAGGGGTTCCCTACATTCTTTCAGTTCTACAACTTATTCGTAACTACAGTGTGTCTGTCTAGCTCAAAGATCGAAATCGAATAACTACATAGCGAAATTCGCGTCGTGAGCGTTTCCTTAAGAATCATAACACGAATTTCCTATGTGGATATTTTACTGTGACCACAACGCTTTGTGAATTATTATTTCGCACAATGAGTGATTTCAATCTTTGAGCGTAACATGTCTATGGCTTTCTAAGTGTGGTAGTTACTAAGTTCAATTTGACTTTTAATTATTATCTATTATACGTATTTTTTGAGTTTTTGGTCACTGAACTCAACCTTTAGAACACCTTTACAATTTTTTTTAATGAGAGTAGAAAACTGTTTCTTTTTATTTTTCTCTCTGGTGGATTTGCTTTTCCTTCTAAATAACCAATACTTTTTCTTGAAAGCGTCACAAACTTAACAGACGCAAGGCAATGATTTTCAAAATTCACCACTGAATAGTGTTCTATGACAATGGTTTTGGTATTGCGTATTCTTACCTTTACCAATCATATTTGGCAACATCTTCCGTACTGCGGACATGAGTGCTTCCTTGCAGACCAGCTTGATATCACTGCCGGAGTAACCGTCGGTCTTCGCGGCCAACTCCTGGAAGTCCACTTTCGGATACAATTCAATAGTATTCGAGTTAAGAAACTTCTCGAAGAGATCCACTCGAGTTTTGAAATCAGGTAACGGAATGTATATACGCTTTTCCAACCTCCTGAGCATCGCTGGATCGATTTCCCTAAAAAAGGAACAATTGCTGATATTTTCCGAAGTTAGGTACTGACAAATTTCCTATCCTACAGTGAAAACCGCATAGAAATCCGCTGTATTTTACGAAGAGTCAAAAGCTTAACAGATATACGAAAGATAAACTGAAAGCGACTGTACACTTTTTAAAGATTATTATAATAACTCTGCAGTATATTTCCACTGTTAGAACACAAGCTTTCTCTGACAGAACCTAAAAATATTTTACCCTAGTCCAATCAGTTAGTCACAGGAGATACTTATATAATGTACATAAGTGTATAATATCCTTAAAACCTATGTCCAACGTTCTGTTCATAATGATTATTGTTAAAATTCAAAACCATTTATCCAGTCTTAGATTGTTTCAATCACTTGTGAAAGTCGTAAGGTAAACCGTCATTTCGCAAATTTACGGCGGGAGATATTATATCGAGAACTTTTATAATTAAACTAACCAAATTATCTCACCACGGCATATTGGAATTGGCCAACAGGAATACGACGCCGTCCCTAGACGTGATTCCGTCCAATTCCGTTAACAGCTGCACTTTCAGCCTCCTGGAGGCCTCGTGTTCTCCAGGAGCTGACCGATCAGAAGCTATCGTCTCCACCTCGTCAACGAAAATAATCGAAGGCGAATAATATGACGCCATTTCGAATAGCACCTGTCGCAAAATAAGTGAATATTCATGTGTGAGCTGAATTTCAGTCGCATCTCATTTCAATACAGGAATATTTTTTTTCCAGTGCAAAAATTTTTTTTGGTGGTTCAGTATCAGTAATAGAACACTTTTCCATAATTAGTAAAAAAATTTTTTTTTAAATATTTTTATCCCTATCGAAACGGTAGAATATGGACACATTTTTTAAAATAAAACTTCAATGAAAACGTCTTCTCTTGCGTATGCCCCCGTGCAACCCCGTCGCGCCCGGTAGCCCCCCGCCACAGCCCCCACCGCCCCGCCGGGACCGAGCGACGCGCGCGACAGTGAGACTCACACGCACGCGCCGATGTGACGTGTCCTCGCGTTCCCGCGCACGCGACGCGCCCGCCGTCGTGAGTTTTACGAGATGTACGACGAGTTTATCTTCTGAGTAGTGAGAACCTACATAAGCGCAATTCGGAGAAAGTATGCGACGAAGAGCATACCTCGTATGTGGGCCTTTGGGATCCGTAACCCCGCGGTCCCTAATGCTTCGAACCATTTTAACAGACGAAGTCCCAGAGTCAGTACCCACGATGCGGCATATCTCTTTGGTGTGAGCCAGCCTGCGGTATTGAAGCTGCTAAAAACAGCCGGACTCCATCCGTACCACTTTCAGCCGGTCCAGCAGTTCCATGACCTAGACCCAGTACCACGTCGAGCCTTATGTGAGTGGCTTCTACATCACCGCGATGCAAACATCTTGTAGACGGATGAGGCATTGTTCACAAGTGAGGGACTGTTTCTTATGGGAAGAAGTCAAACGCCGAGATGTAGAGGAGGCACAAAGTCTAGAAGACTTAACAATAAAAAATAATAACGCTTTCAGTAAAGTGAAAAGTGACACTAGTGTTTTAAACAAATTAAATGACAATTTAATGAAATGTGCACGTTTATGTCTGGACAGACGTGGACTTCATTTTGAACAAATATTAAAATACATGGTAAGTAATTAGTTAGGTATTTGTTTTGATTCAACATTATTGTAAATACGTAGTTGATTCTAATTTTTTTAAATACGCCTTAACGCAGAAGTACCTATGTAACTTCGGCATAACGTTAATATTTTTTTCTAGGTAACGAATTTGTTTCTCTTTTATTTTTGCATTTTAATGGCCTTAACCATAAAAGTATGAAGGGAAAATTGAAATTACTCTTAGAAATCACTTCAGATCATGGCATAAAATCTAGTTCGAATCTAACAAAATGAGCGTTCAGTGACCCGTGTAGATAGGTACCTACGAGTACACGCCTACGGCGTCGAGCGAGCGCTCAGCAGACGCACGGCGCGCGGTGTCCATAAATGAAGTTTTAAAATCTCGATCTTTGATAAGCGATAACTTTATTTTTTAGTATTAGAACATATCAAAATAAAAAATACGTGTTTATTTAAATTACTTAAAGTTTATTTTCACAAAATCTTCGCAGTGGTTTTAAATTATTCCTGTATATAAAGTACGCTTTTCCTTCTGTCTGCATATCCGGAAGTTAAGTAAAGGCCATGAGAATCATTACCAAAATTGTATTGTGTTTATTTCTTCCATGCTTCAGAAGGCTTGTTCAGCAGTCAGTCCCAATTGCATCTATAGTCGTTAACACCCACCAATCCGCTTTGGGTCGGCGTGGTTGCGACCCATTCTCCTTCTGTTACTATGTGAGAATGTTGAACGATGATAACTTTTTTTTATTGTCGTGAATCCTTTTAAAATGAACATTTCCCTGACCTTGACTATCTTCTCAGACTCGCCGCGCCACTTGTTCACTAATGTGCTGCAGGTGACATTGAAGAATGTGCAGCAAGTCTCGGTGGCGGCGGCGCGAGCCAGCATCGTTTTACCGGTGCCGGGTGGACCGTGCAACAGCACGCCTCGCCACGGCTCAAGTAATCCAGTGAATACCTCCGGATACCTTGACATAAAATAATCAAGAATTGTAAACTAGTTATTTTTTATGTAATCAGTTACATCGAAATCAAGCTTGGCTTCAAACCATGACATTTTAAGATACTATATCGATTTAGTAGACGCTATTGAGGAAAATATGAACCAATTTTTATGTCTCATCCATAATTCATCGACAACAAGGGCACGACGCGTTTGCAGATAAAACGCATGTCATTAAAAAATAATATTAAGTAATGATAGCAATCGCAAAAATCATTAGAATTATGTAACTTGTCATCCGTCAAATATTTACCTAACTGGGTATATAATAGATTCCATTAATAAGCTCTTTGCATGTTCCAAACCCACGATGTCTTCCCAGCATACCCCTGAAGGTCGGACAATGTCCTGATAGATCATTTCCACCAGTTCCTTCTTCTCTGCGCACTGATTCGCAAGTAATCCTGCCAAAGGTTTCTTTTCGATGGCTGGAATTACCGAGTTCTGAAACTGGGCTTCCTGAAAGGAATAATAATAGAAGAAGAAACACATGGGATAGACGGCCCGAATTTGGTCAATAGCCCATTATCGGCTCTTTGGGACTTCAAGGCGTTCTAACTATGGCATAGGCAAATATATTACTTTACTGTGTACGGTATTTAGATGTTTTCGAATTTTTCCACATATTAACGTTCATAACGTTAATTGAAACGCATTCCCACCCTTTTCTGTATTGGACCTTACATCCTTACATGAGCTTGTTCTTTCATGCGATGCAAATGCCTAAAAAACATCATTGCGCTAATGTCAAAAAGATTATATTATGGCCTTTAGGAACTTTCTTCAAAACTATTAACTTATCTTTAGGCTTACCCTGACCAACTTGGTGACAGTGAAAGTGGACGGTAAATCTGATTCCTTCTCCTCTGCCACGGCGACTGGCTCGGGTCTCCTGTCCTCTCGAGGACCACGCCTGGTCTGCGGCCTGCGAACCAACGGCCTCTCTGCGTCCACCTGACGTAGGAACAGCGGCTGCTTGTTGAAGCGTATCAGGTAATAGCTACAATAATCCTGGAAAAAAACGAAAATAATATGGTCAAAGTGGTATAAACAACACTCGCGCCTACATCAGATTAAGCACTGAAACATATAATCACTTAAAACCCGTTAATTAAACCCGAGTTTGAAGTTATACTTTATTACATTTTATGGTTACTTACTAGAGCCAACTGTTGGGATCGCAACAAACTTTTATTCATTTTCATAAGAGTAACGGTAGCAGTTTACTTTTACAATGTATTTATAGTGACAGATAAAATAATCCAAGCAAAAAACTATGGAGTTCTGCTTTCAAAAAAATGTAATTATGAATAGTTAGTTTATGTTACAATTAACAGTAGAAATCGATTATAAATTGAAGATAAATAACTAAATGGTTAATGTTACAGATTTAAATGCTCTAACACTGTCGCTGAAGATAGCAAAGAAGTAAATACTGAATAATAACATAAATATGAAAATGATGATAGTTATAAAAGTAAACAACGGATGGATGACTACCAAAGATCAAAACTCAATGCGTCATAGGTATTGCGACAAATTGACTATATAATCACCATTCTGCCATCTGGCAATCATATAGTTTCAACTAAGAGGTAGATCAGTAACAGACATCAATAGTGGTGGCGTCTCCACGTCTCGTGAAGTTGTTGGCAAAGAGCCAATTTCCGTATGCCACTTTGATTCATATTGTTCCTGCTTTTCAATAACTATTATTAAATACTCACGCAATTTTCATATATTTGACGTGACATTATTAGAGTTGTTCATACTCTAAAATAAAATATATATATATAATGTATTTTTAATAAACAATAAATATAGTTTAACATTATAGCAAAATTTAAAGTAAATAGTACATATATTTATATAATATAATTAGTTTCAATTTGGAATAATAGATGACGCTTACCAATTGTAAAAATATAGTTTCATTTTCACACAATTGATATGTATTATTGTGATTCCTAATAAAAGGCTTTTGCCCGTGTACATAAATAAATTCCATGGCTAAACGTCATAAGTAAACCCTCATTCTAGACCTCGACTTTATTCAAGAGTTGTTCAAAATTACTAAAATACATTATTAACGCGCTGAAGACTAAATACTAAGAATAATTAGCGTGTTAATTAATGCGTTAATTTAATAAGTTATTAACGTGATAAGAACACAAAAGAGTGCGCAATAAACGCATTAAATCAACCATTCACTAAATCTCGTAGTACTTTATTTATTACATGTCAATCTTTGAACTGAGTGAGTTTATTATAATATATGTGAAATAAAAGTAAATGAACTATATACATTTATTAACTACACGTAATGCAATTTTACATCCCTTGACTAAAATCTGTCCTTATATTTATTAACATTATCATCTTAACATCAGCGTAAAGCGCTAAATACGATTAGCGAATTAAATTAACACCCTAAGCGCTAATTTAACTACCTTCAGACATTATTATATTTATCTGTTTTTCGTTTCAGACCGTTCTATATTTTATAACAAAATGAAATGTACTGAAGTTCTCTTAAAGATAAAATATCATTTCTAGATTTCCTCATCACGGGCCAATTCTCACTCACACATTTAACTCCTATACTCATCATCAGCAGCCTATTATTGTCCCCTCTGCTGAGTCACAGACGTTTCTTGTCGACTGTATCAAATTGGTCCTCAATCCACCATGCGGGACTAGTATGGATTGGTGGTTGTAACGTCTGGAATCGCAGCCGGTATCAACCACTTAAAATTCACTTGTATAGTATAAAGACAAGCTGTTTTCACGCGACTCCGCCAGCCTATGTTACCCACGTGTAACATAGGCTGGCGAAGTTGCGTATGTAGCTTCCAGTAGGTCAAAGAATTTATAAAATTGGTCCAATATTTACGGAGCCAAAACAAATTATAATATTAGGTCGTATATATCTCGTTTGTTTATAAGTTTTGAGACCAAATAAAAGTTACGTAACTTTTTAATTAACTTACATTTCTAAAATTTTCAGTAACAATTAAATAGATAATAATAAAATAGATATTTTATTTAAAATGACCGCGCTTGTTTTTAATGCAGGCCCTTGGACGATTTGGCCAATCATCAATGGCGGCACGAATCTTTTCTAGCGGAATTCGCTTTCTTCTCAAACAAGTATTCGCTTCAGTGACTCCAAGTTTGGGTGGTACTTTCGGCAGACCCTGAGCTCTAATTCAGTCCATAAAGAATAATCCAGAGGGTTGAGGTCGGGGCTGCAGGAGAGCCACTCGTCCGCCGCGATGAAGGCCGGCACATTCTCCCTTAATCAAGCTTAGATGCTTTTACCTTATAGGATGGCGCCGAGACTTGCTGAAAAATAAAATTCTTATTGTGAAATAACGTATCAGACAGGGATTTCACCACTGGCTCTAAAATGTCACTCTGATAATTCTTAGCTTTTCCCTTAGACACCTTGTTGGCAGAAATAGAGCGGTGTGACACCTTCACACGAAACTCCCCGCCATACCATCACACTAGCCGGATGATGAGCGAGATATTTCGCTAGCTGGATGATGAATGCGCGTGACATTCCGTGCACAAGCTGGGACATTCTTGCTACTTTTAGCGTACACTTTATTGTATTGCCGCTTGAACTATTCTTCGACAGATGTTCTCGTCGGTGAAGAGTATCTTCCTGGCATAATTTCTCCTCAACAGCAATAGACAAAGTTCGCGTCGTAACTTACGAAGACGATTGATTTAAAAGTGATCTTTTCTACGGCTATGGGCCTTTACTTTAAGATCATATTTTTTCTTTCACTGAAACGCGCGAAATATTAGTCTGAGGAGCGAGTTTCTTCTGAGTGCGACTTGGATTTCGGCGAAATCGCTCTCGGATGATTTTGATGTTCGTTGACGTCCTCACAGAGCGTGGCCGACCATTTCTTTGGCGATCTTACAGAGAACTTGTCTGTTTGTACCGCTGTATTGTGTAATAGACGAAGTTACGGCTTACAGGAAAACTTTTCAGCTGGCGGAAAATCTGCATCGGTTTTTTTCCCGCCTTAAATAGCGAAATGACAGTTGCACGTTGTTGTTTCGTTCCCTCCATCACGAGAAAATATAAACAAATGATATTCGTGATACAAATAAACTAAAAGTTAACATTCCACATTCAAAATCTGTAAAAAAATAAATAACGACCAGTAACATTTTATTATATTTTTTCAGTAAAAAAATTGTCTCGGAATATGTTGATAGAAAATTTTAAATGGAAAAGCGTTTTAAAAACTGTTTACAGTAATCATTTGTGATTAGTTAAAACTGCGCCTTAAACCAGTCTATGTATATTTTATAAAAGTATACTTAAACACGCATTTTGTTATAATCTTTAATATGATGTAGGGACGACTTTTTATTCCATTTCCTCATTAATAAAACTCCAGTGGAGAGCATACAGTGTCACATAATTTATCACTTGAAAGAAATCTCACCATACATCAACATGTACCTATGTGTTTCCGCAATTTTTTTACCGACTCCAAAAAATGGAGGAGGTTCTCAATTCGACTGTATTTTTTTCTGTGTGTTACCTCATAACTTTTTAGAGAGTGGACCAACTTTTTATGATTCTTTCTTTATTTGAAAGTTAGTTGCTTGCCGTGTGGTCCCATTTTAATTTGGTCCAGATCTGGCAATGGCATCTATGAGAAAACCATATGTCTTAAATTTGCGTTAAGTATGCGTGATGTTTGTTACCTCAAAACTCAAAATATCACCTAAAGTCTATAATATATAACTAAAGCCTAAAGTAAGTAAAAACAATAGTTCTTAGCCTGTAATTAAAAATGATTAAGTCCATAATTTTTAAGATTCAGTGTTGCCCGGAAAACTTTTCAAAAATATTAAGAAATAAATTAATAAAGCCCCTGACCAAAAACTATTATATATATTTGGATGTCAACTCCAATATAACAATATAGGCTTTATTTATCAGAAAATAAGAACAATAAAAATTTAGGTATGGAGACCGGGGCTTAAAGTTCCGAATTTCATATAACATGGAATTATGAAATATTGCAAAATTTCGAAAGGGAACATTCAACCCCGCGTTGGGGCGAGTTGTTCCACGTGTGGGGCAAATTGTGCCGCTTGGATAATAGAAATAAAATATGAGAATAATATAGGGTTGTTTTAAAAGATAACAGTCATTTTAAAGTAACATTTAGTGTGTGTTAATGTAATGCTATAAAGTACAAATAAAACAACAACAAAACATTAGTAGTTACATATTGCTAAACATATTGCACTGGTAACTCAAATTGAGATCTATTATTAGCTTATAAATTTCATTACCTACATGATTAATAATAATTTAGGATACAACAATTCCAACTGAAAAGGATCCTCGAGATAAAAACTTTTTTAAAACTAAAAAACATTGGCACTTTTCTTAACATAACTAAAAAAAAAAACATTTAGATAAATGTTTATTTTAAACTTTAATATAAATTCATCGAGTTAAAAATCTTATCAGATCTATAACTGCACTTATTTAACTAAATAATACAACAGATAACCTCCAGACTAAAATTTCATCTAATCAAATAACAAAACCGAACATCTAACGTCCATATTATTTTCATTTAGTTATGGTATCGATGTAATATTAAATAAAAATGATTTTAATCGAGGCGATAAAGTTATATTTATTTTAGTAGAATTACAATGAAAACAAATCATCAGTCTTGTTTTAAACATTATTAACGTTAACATCTAATATTCTAATTAATCATTAAATTGTTATCTGACTTACAATTGGGACACACATAAGTACTATCAGCTTCATTTATACACTGATCTGTTTTTGTAGCCTATGGTAGGATCATTACCAGTTCAATTTTTTTTTAACACATCGATTTAACATGTGGCAAATTTCTAGTTCTCTGACGGCAGTTTTAATTTTTCTTCCATCTTGTATGACAGTATTGGCAGCTTAGTGCAATGAAGATTATAAATTTTTTCCCTCTCTCAGCTTTTTGTTTCTAGGTACCATCCTAACAAAATAGAAAAAGTGTCTTAAAAATATGATGAATTTGAAGGTCAATATGGGTGAGTTGTTCCGGGGATCAACCAGCCCGTTCAGGAGGGAACTTGTAGCCCCAATTGAAGTTTTTATATAAAAATTGTCATAATAGCAAATTAACGAAATCAATTGAAAAAACATTCAAACAATAAGATACCTAAGTAATGCCACTCTCAAATAGGAAAGTTACACATAAATCGGTCAATAATAAATAAAAATAGACCAAAAAGATTATATAGGAAAAAATATACTCCCGTGGTGTTCTAATACCGAGGTACATACAGCCATTCACCCGCCGTTGTTGGAGCCACTAAGATGGTCGCCAACGCAGCGCGTCATCTGATGCTTAAAAGATGCACTGCACACGTGTTACTGCCTCTATCATTTAAAAAGTTATGACTGTCGGAACAACTTACCCCGGGAACTTTCAGCCCCGGCCTCCCCTAGGTATTTCATTAAACTATTAAATTATATTCGACAGCAAATGATCAAGGAAGATGGCGAAACTTAGTTCGAGACGTAATTAATCAGTAGTGAGGAGAACGATGGAAGAGACCTTCATCAAACTATGAATCACACATGGATAGCCACCGATAAGTCGACAATAGTCCATTCCATGTGGAGGGCTGTATTCCAATTTCCGCCGCCGTCTGGGGTCAGCGCTGCCGATCAGTGCAAACGACCCTCGATATCCTGATCATTCTATTTGCATTTAAGAACGTTTAATACGAAACCTATCTAAAAAACTCAAATCAAACAGCCTACGTCAACTTTATTGTGAATTAGCTCCTTCAGATTATTAGCCGCTAACAGACATACGTTATTTTCATTTTCGATGTGCTGCTATATGTACTAGAAATAACTCCGATGTAACGATAAACCTCACCCAGTTTGCGGTGTTCCAAAGAAATATTAACTACGTGTTCTAGTTAGCTGCGACAGTTGGCTGGCACAGTCACACAGTGAGAGGTGCCAGATGGCCTGACCATCACCCACCCTGCACAGTTACAAACAAGTAACCAACCCACTAACTACCTTCACGTACCACTAGAAACGATTTATAGATATTACCAGTACAAATTAACATTACACCTGAAGGGCTATTCTATTTATCCGAAAACAAAATTCCGTTTTTTTTTTATCAATATGCTAAAACGACTCCAAAGAAACGCAATTTTGATAATTTATGGTACAACGGAGTCAGGACCTCTGATGTACAGATAATCTTCACGGATTAGATTTTTACAAAATCATCAGATCCTTTCGAAGTTTTACGAATTTTGGCAATATTAGTTTTTTCTTACATAAGTACTACACTTTACAACTCCAAAAATTGGCGAAGTAAATCATAGCAGTATTCTAGCGGTAGGAGTATGTAAATATGCCTTTATATATAGTAATACAGTACCTTGCAAAATTGGCTGGCCTAATCGTTCTACACTGACAAAGTTAATTTACATCATAAACAATACATGCCAGAGCTTTCTTGTATTTCAATGTTTTTTGTTGTAAATATGTGGGTAGGTTTTCAGAAAAATTCTAAACTTTCCAGAAAAAATATCAATTAAGAATCTAATATTTTATTTCCTCTATTAATTTATTTTCAATTGCTTTTTCCATTTATATTATATAACAGCCAGTTGCACAAATGTCCATTCAAAACTTCATTAGTTTAAAGCGACATTACCCATACAAATATGACATCCATTAGAGCTTAAGGGTGTCATTAAAGCTTAATGGAGGTTTATGCAACTGAACGTTAGTCATATCCGCCCCATTAAAGGAGAAAACTACTGAGTAATCTTCTTGTTAGTGCTTACCTGCAATATAATATCAAGATCAATGTTGTCGCAAAGCTCATATTCCCCTGTGAGCGCAGCCTCGGAAGCGAGCGTGGCCGCGCTCTGCAAGAACCCCTCCTGCTTCAAAAAGCCCAGCACCAGGTATTTGAGAATCCTCTTCCTGGCTCGAAACAAAGCCTCCTTCTGTTAAAAAAAAAACATTAAATACATATATAAAATATTAGACATCAGATACACTGCCTAGATCCCAAGTAATTAAAGACCCTGTACTGTGGAAATCTGAAACATCGAAGGTACTATAACCAACACTCAAACTCAAGACAATACATTAAAGTTAATTTTACACATTGACCCGATTCAGAATCGCACTCGGGACCTCAGTGATGGCAACACCTTGAAACCGGCATAACTCGGCAATGGATGCCGTCAATTGTGCGGAATAAACCGGTAGAAAGCATTTTTTATTACTCTCACTATCATATCACTGTTGGAATACATGCCTTCCCCATGGCTGACATCGAAAAGAACGGAATAAAAGAACAGACCATGACCCACGCTGCTAATGACTGCAGATGCAGCAGGGATCAATGGTATTTTTTGGTCACCTTTCCTATGACCTGGCGCCTGCAAAAGTTGTTTAACTTTAATGTCGCAAACTGAACGCGATAACCACTGCGCTATAGAGCTCTCTCTTTTACTACTCTATTATTTAATATTTAAACTAATCACTATTACTTCATAATCGATCACATTTCAAATATTTGGCCACAAAGTGAGTAAAATATTTTTCACTATAAAACGATTATTTCAAAGTATTTTAGAGGGAAGTTTGTATTTTTCAAACCGGACCTCAAAGATGGCCCACGGAAGAGAGGTTGGACCGGTATGTGAACCAACTAAATGCCGAACTCAAAGTCGTCTATTTGAACTACATATGTGTACAGTTAGACTGTTACTTGACTCTGGTTTGTGAAAATCGATCTGGATGATTCTAACAACGTCACACTGTGTACTGTGGTAACAAACATTGTTTTGCCCGGATCAATCGAAATCCTCTTGTAATATAATTTATTTATTACATATTTGTTAGTGAATTTCCCATGTCTAAGAAAAATATTTAAATATTCCCCTTATAACAATACTTTCACAAAACTTTTCCACGAGCTTACACAGTGTTTCGATGGAACCGTCCCTTTTGTATTGAAACGCGGTGAACGGTGTCAGTGCTCAGCGAGCCGGGGTGCCAACTACTGGAAGAATTATTCGCTTTGAAATCAACGGCACGGAAAACGGGCCAAAACGAACGCCCTTAATGCACAACGTACAAAAAAAACACCGCCGCCGAGAGAATATCTGCGTTTTACGACATACTAAAAAACCATATTGCCTTTTACATCTATACTAATATTATAAAGAGATAAAGTTTCTAAATTCGTTTGTTTGTAGAGGATATTCTTCGGAAATACTAATGCGATAATGAAAATTTCTTTCAGCTTCGGAAGCAACATCATATGCTGCTATAATTAACGTGGGCGATGTCGCGTGTTCAAATACAAAGTCAGCCCCGCTCCCTTTTTTTTAAATAATCCTTGTAATAAAATATTAAACGTAATTCAATCGGTTTCACCAACGGATGGAGTAGCTCACGAGACCATATTCGTCCACGTAGAATTTCTGAATGATTATACCCGAGACAATCACACAACATCTAACAAATATACATTTAAATAGTTACAGTATCATCTTCATCAGCCCCGTTACGTCCCCACTGCAGGGGCTCAGGCCTTCCATATAGATGGTTAAGGAGGATGGGCCGTGACCCTCCACGCTGGCCCAGTGCGGATTGGAGGGTATTAACGAGTGCAAATGCAGCCGAGACCAACGGCTTAACGGCACGGAGTAGCTCGAGATAATATTTTTTTGGTCACCCATCCCGTGACCGACCCTTGCGAAAGTTGCTTAACGACAACGATCGCAGGCCGCGGCGCTTATCCATTACGCCACCGAGGTACTCAATCACAGTATATACATTTGTAAATATAAACTAACGTCTTAAACTAAACACTCAGTACCAAACTTACCGTTTCTAACTTTCTCATTTGACTCATCGGTCTGTTGATTCCAGACATGGCTTTAACTTCTCCACAACTTCAGAAACAATAAAATTAAAAAAAATATTATACAAATGAACGAATAATTCGAGTGTTTTATTGACAAAATTCATATCCAAAGAGTAAACGAGTTGTTGCTATGGGTTGCCACGGGGTTGATATTCGTTGCCAGGGAAAAATATTCTTAGAAATAACATAGGCAGCCTAGTCCTAGTAATAGTAATTTGATAAATGCGTTTTCTATATTTGTTACTCTTTCACGCAAAAACTACTAAACGAATTTATGTTAAAATTTGGTACACGAATAACTCTCAGCCTAGATTAACATTTAGGCTAGTTTTTATCAAAGTAAAAAATCCCTAGGAACTACGCGGACAAAGTCGGTGACGGATAACTAGTCTATAGAGAATACAGATACTGATATTATAAAGAGGAAAGATTTGATTGTTCTTTTGTTTGTATCGAAAAGGCTACTAAACTACAGGACCGATTCTAAAAATTCTTTCATAGGTTGGACATAGGATTTAATATACGCGTGCAAAGTCGCGATACAATAGTTAGTAATATAATAAAAGAGGTAAGAGTTGTGTTGCAATTATTTAAGTCTGCTTTATTTTGACAGTGGAGGAGCATTGCGGCTCGAGTTCCAGATTTATTGGATAAATCTTACTCCGGTAATCAATTTTAAAATTGAGTAACGTACAAAAAATGTATGAACTTAGATCATTGCATTTCTGTAAAATAAATATTATTTCTAAAATGCTTTTTGTTTAATTGTTCGTGGCAAAGTAAAATGCTCGAATTAATTTTTAACCGACCTCGAAATCGAACGAAGGATGTTGTATGTTCGACGGCGATGTATGTTCTTTTTTTGGTATGTTCCACGTATGTTCACCTATTTCCCGCGAACTGTCCATCAATTCTCAAATTCTATTTTTATTAGACAGCTTATGGGCCCTTTTGCTTGTTTGCTTTAATACTATTATAATATTATAAATGTGGAAGTTTCTTTTATTATTATAATATTTTATAATATTATAAATTTTGATGAAATTGGGTATACAGATTAGCTGACTTAGATAATAGGATACTTTTTATCTTAACATTTCCCTAGGGATCACGCGGGCAAAGCCGCTGGCGAAAGCTAGTACAAAAGAAAATATGCTTTTCAAAAAATGTCACCAAAATATTTAGACGATATGTTTAAATCATTAAAGAAAACTAAAGACAGCATATTTTGAATTCATTCAAAATCCGAAAGGAATATTTTTTATGTAACAACTGGTATGTATATTTTTTATGTATATAAAAACAGTTCTTTTCGTGAATAAACTCTTGTTGGTGACATAACAAGCGCTTAATGTAAGCCCTGGGACTGGCATTCCAGCTGTACCCGGTAATATTCCTCTCAACAATGCTACGAATGAACGCGGGATGAGTCGAGTTTACATTCCTGCCTGACGACCTACCGTTATCACGGAAATGAATTATCCAGAAAATATACAAGATACTTATTGAATAGTTTAAAATCAATGATATTAATATGTCTAGATACGCAATACATACCAAAAATCTGAAGCTACTAAAACTAAGACGTTTGTCTTAGTTTTTTCGTTGTTCACTTCATTACTCATTCAACTCCCGCCAAGAAAGTACAAAAAAATGCTCCGCAAAAACAAAGAAAAACAGAAGATAAAATACGATTCTCTTTCACAAATACACTTAATACGAAAGAATATTAAGTTTCACACTTAAATCATTAACATTTTTGGAAATAAATACAAAATTAAAGCTAGGTTATAAAATAAAAATATTTAATTTTCACAAATAAAATTTCGACATTTTGTCGTCAGTGTTGCCACTGCTATTCACTTTCAGTTTTCCCAAGTATATGGGAGCCTTTTCTTTTTATTTAACGTGGCTATAATTTATCTGAATATCTTTTTATAATTAATTATATAACTCAGCTTAAGAAAGGCAACTGCGCTAATTGTGTTGATATTTTTTTTATACACGCACACACATGCTAATGGAATTTAATTTTTTCAATGCGTGGAATTCCTTAGTTATCAAGATACATCTTTTAAAATTAGGTAAAATTGAACCTTTGTTTGATGTTTTATAAACTTTGACAAATGTTTTTGTCTTAACCACTGACTTTATCGAAAAACAAATGAAATAAAATTTTTTTTATTCAAGTAAGTTTGTTACAAGCACTTTTGTATCGTCTTAAAAAATTTTTTTACCCTACTACTTGTTCAGGACGTCTTTTAGCTGACAAGAAGAACAAGCGAAAGAAACTTACCAGCTTCTTATCATAAGTAATGACATTTACATAAATCATGTCATTACCATAATAATACATATATTGAACAATAATAAATACAAGTTTCAAAGTCTGTAGGACATAGGTTGGTACATACCTGTAATTAAAGGGAATTATATGTGCACAGAGCCTACTTTCGTGATTGGTTTTTTTTTTAAGTTTTTTCAAATAAATTTTCAAAGTTACAGTATTTTACTAATTGATTTTATACACATATCTACACTACTCGTTCATTCATCACAATGGGTGAAATTTTCGACAGCTGGCAATACAATATCAATTACCCATTTTTCCGTTCATTCTATCGTTCGCACATATTCTGTCTTTGTTTAATTTAAAGTTTAATCGTAGATATGAGGGAGACAAATATAAAAAATCTATATATAATATATATTATAAATATTATTTGCAAAGCTACGTCCTGATTTCGGAAAAGTGCTACGCTTTTTGGCGCGTCTGTTGTATGGGATTGCTTCTCTAGTTATTAAACTCATTGATAAACAGTGCACTATTAGCAACCAAAACTACGGCCATAGACCACCCATTTTAAAGGGAATGGAAATATATCTCATATAAGCCACATTAATTATTACAACATTACTATTTTAATAATAATTCTCCTACTCTTGTCTTGAAAACATTAATTGAGATTGAAAAAATATCTATCTCATTCAAAAACCCATTGTAAAAATTACATGTTCTCCTGAGAAAGGTATTCTGCGCATATTTCGTACGACAAAACGCAATACAAAAAGTATCCTTCGCTAAAAAATGTTTTTTATACCACAAATACACTCAAAATATACTATTTATTTATAGGAGTAACGTATCTAACTAAGTTTGTTTGTTTGTCTGCCAATTTGCGGAAATACTGATCCGATAATAAAATTATTTCACCTGCGGGAAGCTACAACATACGCAGGTGATCTCTTATAGTAACTAGTATTTTTACTCCTTATGTACTCTTTTATTAATTAAATATGATCAAACTCTGGAACGTCTTTATTTCTCTTTTATAGAATTACTCGTGTGTTGCCTATTTGGACGGATGGATGAATAGCGTCCATCCATCAGGACTAATATGAATGAATGAATGAATGAATGAATACTTTTATTGTACACCATAATTAAACAAAAAGGAGAATCGATACAATTTAGTGGTACAATCGGCGGCCTTATCGCTAAAAAGCAATTTCTTCCAGGCAACCGCAGGTTAGACTGGACTATTACTTAAGTAGATAGGCAGTAGATGGTGTCTTACATGGCACAGAACATAGAGAGTTACATGGCGAGAAACAAATGCAGTTGAAATTTGATTCACAAAATATGCAATATTGAAAACGCCTTTTTGGTGTCGAAATAAGAAATATAAAGAAGAATATAAAACCTATATTGTGTTAACCTCAAACATACTCGTAAATATATAATTTTATAGTTATTTATAGTGGAATTTGTAATAATATACTGAACTCTAAATTCAGTGTGCGAGACTAATGCTAGCTTTATTACTGATATATTTGGCTGTTTTTTTATGTACCAAAGATAAATAATTGTTTATAAAGATAACTAGTTGTTTTCGCCGCGTAAATTATAGTCTAAGTTACCGAGTATGATGTAGTTTCCTGTAAGCGAAGGAATTTTTCAAATCGGAACTATAGTTTCGGAACATCGAATGTTGATACTTTATAATATAAAGTATACCTAGAAGAACAATAAATCTAACGCGACAGTTTTCGTTTGGACGTGACAATGAAAACGAACATTAAAAACAAAGAGCGTGACACACTCACATTAATCAGGAATGAGTAGCTTAATACCACGAGCACACAATGTGTGCAGAATGAGTCATTCATTCTATGGGCTATGCTAAAGGTATTGACGGCGTCGGAACGGAATGATCTTGGTACGTTCCGAGGTCCTTATTCCCGTATTCTGCCATATCTTTAACTTCTCGCTTGATACAGGAACTTTTCCAAGCTTCTGGCGTAAGGCAGTGATTTTTCCTATCCCCAAAACTTCTAATAATTCTTCGCCTTCGCATTACAGGCCTATATCTATCCTCCACTTATTGTCCAAAGTACTTGAACGTATTGTGTATCGTCAGCTAAGTCGATATATATATTTTAAAAACATTTTAAACCCTCTCCTATCCGGTTTCCACAGCACTACCATGTACTACTACCTACAACGGCCTTGCTGAACGTAACGTTGGGAATGTTGAAACAGCAATTAACAGTACTGGTTCTACTAGATTTTGATTATGATATCCTGCTGGTAATGCTAAAAGCAATCAACTTATCTGATGCTGTTGTTGACTGGTTCCATAGTTATCTGACTGGCCGACAATAATGTGTCCGATTGGATGACAGAGTGTCAAGTTTTTGTAGTGTCAGTGCTGGCGTGCCTCAGAGTGGTGTCCTTTCTCCTCTCCTGTTTTATGTCTTCATTAACCACCTTACTCTTTTCATGTCAATTTCACCTGTATGGTGATGACCTGCAAATTTATTGTCTAGCTGCCATTGAGGATGTGGCTGAATTTATGGCCAAGCTCAACGATGACCTTATGACTATAATAATAATAAATTCATTTATTTCCTCTTCACAATAGTTTTTTTTTAATACAATATAGGAATTCCAATCTTTCGAGTATATATACTTACTGTGACGAGCTGGTGCCTGAAATAGGTATTTT